GGCAAAAAAGATGCACACAATAAACTGCCTCTGCTTGAGAATTTAGGGTGAAATTTCTTTTCTTATTGATTCACAGGACTTCTTTTTATATTCTGGATATAAATCCTTTCTTGAAAGTATGTGTTGTGAATATCTTTTCCTAGTCCTGGCTTGCCTTTGCACTCTTAATGCTGTCTTTTAATGAACATAAGCTCTTAATTTTAATAAAGTCCAATTTATCTTTTTTTTTTTTAATTTATGGTCAGTGCTGTCTTTGTCCTGTTTAAGAAATCTTTGACTTACTGTTTTCTTGTTAGATTATTTCCTAGCAAGTGTCCTGTTTTGTATTTCTGACCTCTCGGCTGACCTGACCACATTGCACTCTGGATTCTTCAAAGCCTTTCTTACCCATCCAGATGGATGTCCTGTTGACTGATAGATCTCTGAGCAGTCCCTGGTTCTTGGGCCTGTCTATCCAGCTTTTTAAGTTTGCCTATTCACCGTTTCAGCAGTAGTACCACTTCTTACAATTAACTATCCTTTCTCCACTCTGGTGTTGCCACTCTTGGAGGAAGACAATAATGCTGTTGTGTTGATGTGGTCTTAAGCAGAAGGCCTCTGTGGAAATACACAATCAGGAGAAATTTCAAAAATTTACACAGGTCCTTGGTCCTTGGGAGGGCACTGGGGTCAAACTTGAGAAGAGGAAAAAACCAGAGAAGCACGTTGGGATCCACATGATTGATAGAGCTGGGAGCCAGCGGGCACAATGGAGAGTTGGAAATCCAGAGAGCAGATTAAATTGAGAACTATAAAGCTGTGAAGAGGAAAAAGAACTCCATTCTCTTCCTTCATTTGGGGTATCTGATTAGTCAGCATGAGAGCTGTGGTTAGGAAGAACCAGGGTTCCGAGGTGGAGAGATCACTCTAAAGGGGTCGGCAACACCTCCCCGAAAGATTCTGCATCTCTCCCGCCATCTTCCCTCGCCGTCTTCACTCCCGCCATCCTCTGAATGCTGGCATGGAGTGGCTTTGTCCTTCAGCGCGAGCCTTCAGCCCCAGTGAAGCTGAGAAAACTCAACCTACCCTAGTTAATGACAGGTAAACACAGGTAGCTAATGGCAGGTGAATTCAGCCACGGGCACCTTTGGAAGGAGTATAGCAGGTTTTGCCTGTCAAAACCCCCTCAGCATTAGGAGCACGTGCAGAAAAGAGTTAACGTGGCAGTCCCCAGAAAGGCCTGATTCCAAGGTTAGCCTTCGGCTGGCATCTGGGAACTTGGCTTTCAGGAGGATTCCCACCACTCTCAGTACTGATCAGAGTGGCTCCCTGTGCCTAAACTGTTTGTACAAACAGCGTGGTTCGTGCTGAACACCTGCTTTCCCCCGGGAGTCTGGGATTTTGGTACATGGCAGGCAGAGGGTGCTCAGGTGGCTGGCCCCCAATAAAAACCCTGGGCACTGAGTCTCCCTGGTGGACAACACTTCACGTGTGTCATCACACCTCGTTGCTGGGGGTAATCCAGCATGTCCTATGTGACTCCACTGGGAGAGGACTCTGGAAGCTGGTACCTGGTTACCCTGGACTTCACCCCATGTGCCTGTTTCCTGTGATGATCTTGCTCTGTATTCTCTCATGGCAATAAATCATAGCCACGAGTAGGAATAAACGCTGAGTCTGAATCCTCCTAGCGAATGACCAACCTGTGGTGTTCTCAGAGATCCCCCAACTCGGAGGAGTACAAAAAACAACGCATCTCCTGGAGCACAGAGATGTAGGCGACTTTGGGCTTCTCAGCGGTGAGTTGACACCTGCCCTCTCAGCAAACACATTTCACAGCTCTCTTGAACCCTCCTCGTGAAGCTTGGGCTTGAAAAGTGCCATGGGAGCGGTGGGACTTGAAAATGGAAAAGCTCTCTCCCCAGAATTCTCTTCACCAATTCCCTTACCTTGCCTCCAACCTCCCTGCACGACCTCATTCCATCCTCACTAATCCTAAAAGGAAGGAATGATTAGGTTGAGTCATATGAAATTGCCCTTTCTATAGATCAAAAACAGTTGAATTCTGGCAATTTCACATATTATGATCAACACCGTTAGATAGATGCGGAAACTGAGGCTTAGGAAGGTTGAGTCATTTGTTCAAGGTCACACATTTAGTGAGTCAGGGAGCTTGGATCTGATGTGGGGCCTGACTCGACAAGCTGCTGTTCTAACTGTGGTGGCAGGATGCTATCCATGGAAATAAGGGCTCCTGTTGGATGATGGTAAAAGATAAAGTTAGAAAAGTATGGCTTTTAGGTGCCAGGATGAATACTGGAAGTGCTGTGGCAGCCATGGGGAGACCATCACAGATAGAAAGGCTTACGCTGGGGGAGCAAAGAGTAGGATAAACAGGGATGTGATACGGAGGCAGAAAGGAAAGTAGGCTGCTGTAGAAATTAGATGATACTTACCAGGATTATAAGATGCTGGTAACTGGAGAGGAAGAAATGATCAGAGACACTTTGTTTCTTTGGTTTTCTATCCTTGGCACCATATCTAGCACATAGTAGTTGCTCAATAAATGCTCATTAAAGAAGAACAGAACTAAACAGATAAGGTTAGAATTGTTCCTAGCAGGTGAGGAATCACCACGTGGAAAATAAAAGGTTTCAGGAGCAGTTTTAATACAAGCCAGTGTATTGTGAATGATTCCTATAATGTATATAGTGACACCTACTGCCAATAACATATGCTGTGACCTGTCCATGGCTGACTGCTCTGTATGCATTTGCTCCTATCTTTATCCAAGTGGACTGGTGAGTGGAAACCTGAACACACATCTTTGTGCAGGGACAGCTGTAGGCAAGTAAATCTGGGTAGGCTTAAGGGGCACATCTGTGAAAAGATACGAGTGTAAACATATACAGCAGGCTGTTTTAAGAACTTTTTAGGTCCTGGGCGCTCTGAGTTCTGGAAACTCATCCCACATCATAACAAACATATTAAAATACTCCCACATTATCTAAATACTCTTAAAGAATTTGACCTTTAAAAAAACGATTTTCGTCTGAAATTATTTGGAGATGGGAACTCGGTTAATTTATGATCATCGTGATTTCCTGGCAATCATGGTACTAGGGAATTCTTACTAAGTGATTGCTAACTTACACATGTTTTTCAAATATAATGAAATGTTTATTGATAAATAACAATTATGAAGTTGACCTGTGATGTTATGGGGACCTGGTCTTTGAAGGTCTTTGCCGCATTTCAGGTGGACTGTTTGCCACTGTCTGGACACTTTACTAGGGGCTCCGTCAGGACGAGGGATGTCTCCAGATAGCTCTGGGAACTTCGGCCACACTCATTAACGGTCTGGATGGGTACTGGGGGGTCACTCTGCGGGGACCACCAACTGCAGCATTGACCTCTGGGCCCCAACATCCCAGCCTTGCCCTCTGCTATCTGACCTCCAGAGCCAACCTCCGCCATCTGACACCCATCATCCACCCCACAGCCCTGAGCTCCCCCATCAGACCTCCGCCTGGGCCATGAGAGCCAGGCAGCGCCCTGACCTCTTCCATCTGACACCCCCCACCCCCCCACCCCCATTTGTAATCACCTTGACCTGGGCCGGCGGACGCCTCCGCGGCCTTTCGGGAATTCCAGGGGGCACCCCAGTCCCGCGACACCCCTGAGACCCCCGGCGAGGACCCCGGAAGACACCCGGACCGTCAGCCTCTGCCGCCTCTGCCCAAAGTGATTTCTCGGAAAGCAGAGCGCTTAGAAGAAGGCGGATCGGGTGGGCCCCGCCGATTGGGAGGGCCCAGCGGCTCTTCCTGGCTCATTGGCCAACACGGACGTCGCTCAGCGCGCCGATTCCGCCTTCGCCCTTAAAGCGGCGCGGGCGCGGGCGCCAGCGGCCGCATCTCCCGAGGCCGGCGGCAAGCGTGGGAACGCGGGCAGGAAGGCGGGCGGCGATCCCGGCGCGCACGGCGGCAGGTAGGTGGCCTGGGTGGGCAGACCCGGGCAGACGAGTGCGGCCAGTGCCGGTCGGGCGCAGACTGCGGGCGGGCGCGAGTGCAGTTACCGCGCCGTCCCAGGGCCCCCGCGATCGGGGGGCTCCTTCTGTTTTCTCCCACCCCTCTATTTCTTCTGAATCCAAAGCGAAGGTCCACGTTGTGGATCATTGCGTGGCTGCTCCCAAAGATTGGCTGAGGCTTTAAAAAAGAAAAAAAAATCTCATTTTTCTTAAAATCGGATTTGCATGGACAAGTTGAGAGTGGCTCATATAATGAAGGGAAATATTGACCCTTTATTATTATTATAACTAAGACCTTCTCCTCCGTCCTGCTGAAATCCTTCTAAGAGCAATAACCGTGAAACTTCCCAATGACCAGCGGTGCTTGTGTGGGTTAAATTGTGAAGGGGGCAGACTGGATTTTTTTTTTTTATTCCGATTGATGACAATTAGGATTTCTGAGTCGGGTTTGAGGTCCACTGCTTCCATCACAGCCTCATCGTCCCTGGCAAGAAAGCCTGTATGGGATCACAGCTAACAAGAGCATTTTGGTGTGAAATGATCCTAAGGCAAAGGGCAGACTCTCTAAGTTGAGATATATTACTTACCCACAGCTATGAAGTGCTTCATGAATGGAAACTAGAGACCAAATTTTCTGGGGTTTTTAAAATGATTCCCCCAACACATGAGGGGATATAACACACTTAATTTTTTTTAAACCTAAATCAGGAGACAGTCCTTAAACTTAAATAAGGGTCCTGAGTATGTCCTTTTGGATTATGGCAGGCTCCCCCATAAAAAGAATTGGGGGTTGTTTAGTCATTTCAGCAAGATTGGAGCCAGAGGGAGAAATGGCTTTGATGCTTTTTGGTCTTGTGGGGATGGAGGTCTGGTGGCCAGAGCAAATGCCCAGGGGCCCGGAGGGGTGTGGGAGAATGTGAGCCCTCCACCACCTCTCAGGCACATCCTGGAATTGGGTTCGTTGGGCCCAGGGCAGCCTCTTATCACCTGCCGCCTGGGAAACCTGACCCCCGGACCCATTTATAGGGTGCAGATTAGCTCCAGATAGGACTTGGCCCATAAAGAGAATTATTACCTAAAAATCAAGGAAGAGGAAGTTATAAACATGTGACTGGGCTTATAAATTTTTCCTGGCTCGGCAATTGGTGGAATTACTTTGTTAGTGTTCAATAGATCTTCATTGTATTAGAATCTTAGACTTTCAATGCTGCATACAATCTTGGAGGTGATCTCATTGAAAATTCAAGTGGGGCTGTCCATGTGCTGAGATCTCGTAACTTAACCATGGCTTTTTCTCTGCAGAGTGAGTGAAATGACTCCCCCTGCTAGGGTGCCTGGAGGTTGGGGTGTCTCTCTAAACCTCAGTTTTTCCTCTTTCGAGTAAAGAGGGGCTGGGATAGATGATTCCTGAAGTATTTTCCAGCTTTCATAGTCTATGATACACACTTCTTCCTCTTCATGACATCCCTCTTACTTTCTTTTCTCGTTTTCCTATAAATCACCAAGACAGTTGTCCTTAACAACTTTGGGGTGATGAGTCCATTAGAAATCCTGATGAGAAGGTGTTGATCCACTTTCTCCAAAAATGCCCATACAAACAAAATTTTGCTTTTCATTTCAGGAGGCTCCTGAAACACGGACTCTTAATTTATGAACCTTGTACCAAGGGGGTGAGCAAAATGCTAATGAGCAGGTATACCTCCTTGAATAGACAGATCCACAGACACCAACCCTTCTGTTGTGTTTTAGACCCCTCTGGCCCTCCACGCAGCTCCTTCCTCAAGGGAGGGGAGAGGCTCCTCCTGCCTTTCTCCAAGGGAAAAAAATGTGTACCTTGCCAAGTTATTTTCTGGGGGAAGCTTGGCGGTGGTGTTTCATTTCTCTCACTAGGTGCTCCTCCCAAATCTGTCCCTTATTTATAAACACAAGAGTCTGTTTTAGAATTCTGGGACACTTGCGATCCATTCACTTTGCAGGTGAGGAGAGCCTCAGCGAGAGGTTCAAGTGACTGTCCCAAGGTCGAGTTAGAGAAAGCCGTTGCTTGGGTCCACAGTTTCCAAATCGAAGTCCAATTCCTATTTCACACACTTCATCCCTTTCAAATCCACAACTGGGGAGCTGAAGTTATTGGATGAAAAAGTTACATTTAGTGCTCATGGGACCTCACCTCCTTCTCCCTGGGACCTGGACCCCCCTCCCTGACCCCACGGCCACCTGCAGGGTGGCTGGAGTTTCCAAAATGTGCATTTCTTGCTTTATGGACCAGCCTTGCTCTAGATGTGATCATATTCTTGGGGGACATTATGTCTTGTCACTGCTGATTTTTTTTCAAACTAGTTTGCCTGAAGAGGTCACATTTTAATCAGAAGACTAAAAATGCTATTGTTTTGGGGGGAGTGGGCGTCTGTCCAACTGCCTAGGGGATTTCCACTCCTGTTCTTGTAAATGTGGGTTGTGAGTTGATATGGCATGATTGCTTTCTCTCTTTCTCTGTGCTCTTGGGACAGCTGCCTGCTCTGACAAAAATGTTCTTCCAAAGGATGTCTTTGGGCACCCTGGGATGGTGAGGTCCCCCGATTCTAGTGCCTTTTCGAAGTCTAGCCTGGCTAACTTTGTCTGTAAGCCACAGTCGATTTCTTCAGTCTTGTCTGCTATCTCCCAACTGGTCATAAGAGTTCCTGAAGAAGAGAGTTGGGATAATCATAACAACATCTGTTATTCAGAGAGAATCTTCGAAGGTCCAGGCACTGTCTCAGGTGCTTTAATACACATGGTCTGAGCTCTCATTCCACTGATGCCGGGTACTGATTATTGTCACAGCATTTGAGCCAGCGTAGCTGACATTTCGGTGTTGAATGATGCTCCTGGGTCACCCAACTGAGAGATGGCAGGACTCAAATGGGACCCCACCTCTGTCCTTCTCAAACTCAGGCTTCTATCACTAAACCAGCTTTGAAGGAACAACATAGAAGGATAGCCTGAGGATCTCCCATTTCTCGAAGATCACAAATGTCATAAATGCTCACAAACATTGGTTAAACTGGGCATCAAGTAATGGGATTGGCTCTTAGAGTGATGGGCTGCTCGTTGAAGGGGTCTGAAAATGTAAAAGTGATTTTTCCTTATCTCGTGCTTAGAATGGAATGATGCCACTAGATGTGCTTGAAAGGGCACGTGGGGTGAAAGCTGGAAAAAGCCCAGCCAGAACATTAGGTGGGACCAATATCTGGCTGATGGGCAGCTGCAGGCTTCCCAGGGAGCTTTCAGGTTTCAAACAGGGACCTGAGGCCTTGGAGACAGGCATTGTCTTCTCATGGCAGGTGGCCCAGAGTTCCTGGATCTGTGGGTTTCCCCTAAGCTGGCACCTGTGTTGCAGCCCTCTGATTTTCTTTTAGCAATTCCTAGCAGTTAAGTACGTGGGGGTACTGCGATTAATGAGACAATATTTGTAGGGTCATAGAATATGTTTGCTTCTTTCCAAGGATGTGTGACCGGAATGGAGGCCGGCGGCTTCGGCAGTGGCTGATTGAGCAAATTGACAGCAACATGTACCCAGGGCTGATTTGGGAGAATGACGAGAAGAGCATGTTCCGGATCCCTTGGAAACACGCTGGCAAACAAGATTACAATCAGGAAGTAGACGCCTCCATTTTCAAGGTAAAGACTTGACCTCCCTGCCCCCACCATGAGCACAGCTTCTGTCTTCCCTCACAGGCTGGTTGAAGTGTTGGGTGACGTCTTTCTTGTTTTCTTGAAAATTAATCCAATTTTTAAAAACAAACATCGACCGAGTGCTGAATGTGTCTCAAAAAGTATACTAGGTGATTTTACATCTATTATCTATTTTAATCAGTCTTGAGGTCAGTTGTATTCTGGTGGCATTTTTCCAGTAAGGAGATTAGGGACACTTTCTTCACCTATATGACCATTTCTTTTGCATGAGGACTAGCAAATGTGTGAGGGTGGGGTGGGGTGTGGGGGGCGGGCAGAGAGAAAAGACTTCTCTGAGGCCCTGAGACTAAGACCTTTACCCCCTGGGCTACCATTCCATTTGGAATTTAGGAAAGGTTTAAGGCTTCATTCTTGCAAAGTTATTACTTCTGTTTGGCAATGTTGGGTCAGTTCAGAGGAGAGGCACCATCTGTCATTACTTCCTGGCCAGGTCATGTGGGGTGTCCTGAACCTGCAGCAGATGTCTAGAAATAGTCTGACTTCCCTTGAGAATAGTGAGTACCCCAAGCATGGAGGGACTTGCTAATTGGTTCTGCCATTTGCATTGTGACAGCCAACGTTGATTGAGAGTTTGCTCTGTGGCAGGCCTGGCCCCACAGGTTCTGTGTTTTCCTCTCACACAGCCTTATACAGGAGGTGCTGTCCTTGCCCTTGTTCTGTAGAGGCACTGAAAGGAAAAGTGACTTGTCTAAGATCTCACAGCTCTTGGATGATGGAGCTGGTGTTTGAACCCAGGCAGCCCCACCCTGAGCCCATGCTCCCAGCCCCTAGCAGTACTGATGATAAATAGAGGATTTTGGCCATTGCACTTAGATTTAGGCAGAGGAGCCAGGAGCCAGGGCAGCGCAGCTGTGCAGCCCAGTCAGGCCATCAGAGTCTCCTGTGGTCAGCGGAGTCCCCTCTGGACTTCTCTCAGGCTCTGGGTGGTCCTAGGTCAAGGAGAGCGCAGGCTTCGATTTTTGCAAACAGAACAGAAGCACCGCAGGCAACCTGACTTGGAGCCCAGGTTGCAAATGCTGCAGTGTGAGCTTGTTCTGTGGGCATTTGGGAAGGGAGAGCAAGTGGGAATGGCGAAGGAACAGGAAGGCTGAATTATGGAGGGCCGGAATCAGCCCTGAGACCTTGGATGAATGAGGGGAGCAAGGCCTTGTGGGACTGCAGTGTAGCACCGGACTCTTAGCCAGGGAAGACTGTCTTCTGACACAAAAGACCAAAAACGACAAAAGGTCATACCTTGGCCCCAGAGTGGAATATAAATAGGTCAAAGTTGACTCATGAGACACTTCAGTCCTTCGAGCCTCTGACGTTTGCAGCGGGGCCATACGTTTAGGACTTCTGTTAAATCCGTCACCGGGGATCGCAGATCTCTTTGAGAATCTGATACCAGTTACTGGCTCTCTCGCCAAGAAAAGTGGGCACATGTGGACATTTTGCACTTACCTTTAAGAGGACCCATGTGGCCTGAACATCCAGCAGATTTCTTTCCATTAGGGAGCCTAGGGCAGGAGCCTGGACACTGCCAGGTTTTTATGCCACTAGTGCCTCTTTTTGCATTCTCGGAGGAGTGTGGGTCCCTCGTTCGTAGAGGCTTTTTACCTTTAGCATCACGGTGCCTTCTCTTGGGAATGACTCTGGCTAAATTTAAACAGTGCCCAAGGCCCACCCAGTCAGCTGGGAATTCTAGATGATAGATGGCTATTAAGCCAGGGCTCCTCATATCTGCCGCTGCTGATACCTAGGAGCAGATAGTTTTGTTGGGGGGCTGTCCTGTGCATGGTAGGATGTCCATCAGCATCACGGGCCTTGAGGTATTGTATGCCAGTAGCACCCTTTCCTCCAGTGTGACAACCAAAAATGCCTCTGCCATTGCCAGATGCCCTCAGGGGCACACTCTCCTTCCCCTCCATGGAGAACCCTTCTAGGAGCTGACCATGGCCAGGATGAACAGATATAACCAGAGGTGTGGGTGCTGAGGGCATACTTGCAGGTTGCCCATCAGTAAAGCCTCTTCAGGAGGAGCGCAGAGGGGGCTGGACCAGCAGGCCACATAACCCTGGCTTGTGGTTTGCTGGCGGAGACCCAAGGCCTCTCCCTTCACACTGCTCCCTGCTTCAACTTATGCTCTGGGGGGTCATGAAATAAAGCCCCAGATTTATACATCTTATGCAATGCTCTTCATGGCCGTTTCAACAGTGTTGAGAAAAATGTGCAAGATTCCCAATGTTTCCGTTGATTACGCAGTTGCTCAATGTGGCAATCTGAAGTGAGTGTACAATCTCAGCAGGAATGGGGGCAGGAGGGAGACATGGGTACCCACCCAGAACTGGGCAGCCACTGGGGGGGAGGGCGTGACAGACTGGGCTGGTGAAATACAGATGGGGAGAACCCCTCTGATGCTCACCTGAGCTGTGCTCACCCACTCCATCCTCTGAGGGGCATAGCTCTGCGATGTCCACCAAACGTGCCTTTGCTGTTGGAAGGAGTCAATAGGTAGGCCTTGGTTAGATATGTATTTTCCTGCCTTAGGAAGTGGATTGTAAGAAGCCACTTATACCAGAGAATCCTTCATTGTTCACGGGTGTCATTCTGAGATCAGCTTCATGGTGCGGACCAGAGATGGTAGACTGTGCAAAACATTTAGCTCATTTTGTACCACATCCCTGAGCATACTGAGGAGGCCCTGCTGTCAGCTCATGTTTATTTTTAAAAAAAGTATTTGGCTTCCTTTTCATAAAGTTGAGGGGGGGAAATCGAGTTAATAGATTCACTTGTTCTTCTCTCATGGACCAGGCATTGTGATAAGCCTAAATGAATGAGAACTTACTGAGGAGCACAGCTATTTCAAAATTAGGAGGTCTTAGAGGAAAAAAAAAAAGCATTTGATTTTTAAAACCTAAGAGGAGACAATAATGTTACTTTAGGAAGAGTTTGCAGTCCTGGGTTCAAGGCTGGCTACTGATGAGTGCAGAGGCATAGGTGACAGTGGGGACTGGACAGCTGTGGTGGCTGCTGTTGGTAGGGCTCAGAATCACTCTGTCCTGTCTAGAGTTAGCTCTAGGGACTTGAGAGATCCCTCAGCTAAGCTGATATTCTAGAGTTGGCCAGGGAGCCCCCAAAAGGACTCAGGGCAGGCTGGAAGTGGGGTTCCTGATGCCAGCCCAGGGTGCTTCCTGCCCAGGGGCCCTGCTTTGCTTTATGATGTCCTGGCGTTCTTCATGGGGGTGAATATGAGCCTTGAGAAAAGCAGTGACTATGGCAGTACCCTGTAGGCTGGGACAGTTCTGGATAAATATCAGCCTGGACTAGCATTGCCCCCAAATCCATCCTCTTCAAGGCCTATTTGTAATATGGATAAACCCAGTAGTTCTCAAACGTGTGTGTGTGCGTGTGTGTGTGTGTGTGTGTGTGTGTGTGTGTAGCATGATTTTACCTCCCTTGGGGGACACCTGGCAATGTCTGGAGACATTTTTGATCGTCATAACGGGGGTGGGGCGGGCTACTGTCAGGGATGGGAGGAGGGGGTGGGTGGAGGCCAGGGATGCTGCTAGACTCCAGCCACACACAGAATGATCTGATCCCAAATGCCCATAGTACCGAGGTGGAGACATTCTGATTTAACATGAAAAGAAATTGGAATTGCTGTTCAGTGTGTCCATGGTTTGCTCTTATATTTCTCTGGAAAAAAAAAATCCATGCATGGTCTGTGATGCCGTTAATAAATGATTGAAAGAAAGATTGAAAAGGATTGAGAAACATATTTCTAAAGGGGCGTTTTGCATCTACGTCAGGAAAGGAAATGACTGCACATACCCATTAATAGGAATGTTCTAACAGTTTCTTTACCTCGGGCAGAGATGCAAAATCTCAGCTCTGGGCACCAACAGAGGAGGGAGTGTTGTCAGGAAACTGTGAGGTCTTGTCTTCTATGAGGTGCCAAAAAGCCAAGACTATTTTAAATGGAGCTGTGACTCTCAGGGGCGTTATGGAGTTTCTGTAATTGTGACTTCCTGGCCACTTAAATCAGAATCACTGGAATGATGGCTAAAGATGCAGTGTTGCAGACCTTACCCACCCCAATGAATGAGCATCTTGAGGGGCAGGCCCGGGAATCTGTATTTCACAAAGCTT